AGCTGAGTGTTTTGCATTTCCACCAGCTATGGCCAGAGTTTCAACATCAGGACATCAGTTCAGCTTTTGTTATTTTCTGCTTTTGTGTATGTGTGCACGTGTTTGTGGGTGTGGTGAAGAACGTGTGTGGAGATGAGAGGACAACTTGTAGAAGCCAGTCCTCGCTTTCTGCCCTGTGGGCTCTGAGCTGTCTTGACGGTCCTGTTTTCTGCTTCCATGTATTCACTTGTTCATCTTGATGGGAACCATGAAAGTGGGCATCCAGTCCCTGGTGCTGGGACATACTTTTCACCTCTTATCACCTCGTAGACTGTGTTTGGCTTGCTGCATGCCTATGATTGCCCCTTAGCTGCCAAGATTAAAAAGAGGAGCTGAGCTTGCATCCTGCCTCTGTCATGCATAATATGAACAGCATGGTTTGGATGGATTCTTTCATTTGTAATGTGGGAGCCTCTAGAGTTGCTGGAAGGACAGAATAACAGCCATACATGGGACTGAGTCTGGCCTATGCCGATGTTTTGCTGACGATTCGCTGTTGTGGTCACGACCATGACACCTCTCCCCTCCAGACTAAAGATCCAGAAACTAATGAATGAAGCTTGTTGGATGAATCATTGAGCCCTCTGTTCAGTTAGCCTTTTCTTTAGTTCTCACTAACTGTCCCCCAGGCTGCACATTGATCACTCCCATGATGAACAAGCAAAAGAGCAGCTGGATCAATGTGCATATTTCCTCAGAAGGATGGGAGGGGACGCTACGGTTCTGGTGTGGGGTGGACCTGGGAAGAGAAGGGAACAATAAGCTTGAAGCCTACAAAAGCAAGAGGAACAAAGAACCCTGTTTTACTTAAGGCAAGAAATAAAGGGCTCCAGGGAGCTGCCTCAGAGGGTCCAGTTGGTGGCCCAGTTGAGGGAAACATCGGGTCTCTCTGCTCTTGAAGGTGGCAAGAAGGACTCAAGGGGTCCCTGGGTACTGAGGGTTCAAGCAATGGTCTCCTATCCCCTCCCACTTCCTATGAGAATGGCCAAGGCTGAGCAGCCTCCCATGACGAGAATCACTGAACAGTTTGCCATGGCTTCCATGGATGTCTCTAGAATACAACTGTGCCATACCCCAGCCATCTTACCCTTCATTTTGTTTTTTAAACACTAAGTTTATTCTTTCATGTTTAGGCAGCTTGACTGAGCTATTAATCCCTCCGGTGACCACCACCCCAGCTCCACAAAGAAGGCATTATAAGTCTTGTAGATTTTAGAAGGAATGAGAGAAGTGTTGTTTTGGATTATAAACCTGGGAAGAGGTTTATAATTTGGATGGCTTCTGGCCTGGGCTCCCTGGAATCTCAGCCTTATTGACCAGGAAGACAGATGGACCTGCAGAGTCAGATGCTAAGGATCCTGCAGGCCCCTAAGAACCAGCAGGAGGCCACTAGCAACTATATCAGGGGCCCTTGGCTTTTCTTATGACCCAGGGTACCCAGTTCAGCTTTCCTTTCTTGAAAATCTGACCCTCCAGACCAGGGTAGAAGAAACCTGAAAGAGGAAAGATAACTGGAAGACATAATGGCAAGGGCAGGTCTCATCAAACAGGTAATGGGAGGTGTTAAGGAAAAAATACCCAATGACACATTTTTTTCAGTCCTGAGGTGGAAGGAACCCTTATACTTGCTGGGCAAATGTTCTACCACTGAACTACATCTCCAGTCTCATCAGAGACACTGTGTGTGTGCACACACATGCATGTGTGTGAGCACACCAGTGGCTGTACATATTTGTGAGTGTATGTTTGTGTGGTTATGCACTTGTCTGTAGGTGTGTATGTGCTTGTGCATATGTACATACTTGTGTGGGTGTACACATGTTTGTGGGTATGTATGTTTGTATGTGTACATATTTGTGTGTATATGGGTATGTACATATTTATGTTTGTGTGTGCATGTATTTGTGTGTGCATTGTTTACATGTTTTTGTAGGTGTATACATGTGTGTGTACATGTTTATGGGTACACATGTGTATATGTGTACATATTTGTGTGTATGTGTGATATTCATGTTTGTATGTGTATATGTTTATGTGTTTGTGGATGTGTACATGTTTGTGTAGGGGTGTAGATGTGTATAATATGTTTGTGGGTATGCATATTTGTATATGTACATATTTGTATGTATATGAGTATGCACATGTTTGTGTAGATGTGTACATATATGAAGAGTGTCTATGTATTTGTGGATATACACATTTGTATATGTATATTCTTGTGTAGGTGTGTGTACACATTTTATGTAGATGCATATGTATGTGTTTGTATGGATGTGTAGATGTTTGTGTGGGTATCTACAAAATATTTTTCTCATTCACTCTCTACCTTAGTTTTTAGTCAGGACCTCTCACTGAACACAGAACTCACCAGTTGAGCTAGGGTGACCTGTCTGCCAGTGATCTGTCTCTGTGCTCCTCCCATTCCTGGCACTGGAGTAACCATGTGCCACCACACCCAGGTTTCATGTGGGTGCTGGGATCCAAAAGCATATCCACATGCTGGTGAAGAGATACTTTACCATTGGAACAGTCTTTCCAGTCCCCAAACAACACTTTAAGAAGCAGTCAATTAGGCTTAGTCTGGACCATCCTGATGGCACTAGGAACACAGCAATGAGATTTTGTAGTGGGTAGAGCTTGGGCTCTATCCTCACCCAGGATCATAATGTAATAGTACCGAGGGGTACCTCCAAGGGCAGAGGGGCTCTGTCTAAATCAGCCTTGCTGAAGATTGGCCAGGTGACTGGGAATGACAGAAGAGGAGGAACCTGAGACATTGAGGACTCAGATCTTGACAGCAGGGATTCAGGGCCAGGAAGAAGGCTCAGAGGGAAAGGGTGCCCCCAAACTACTAAATAAATAGACAAAACATAATTTTAAAAAAAGTAAGGGAGGGGCTCTTAGTAAGTGAAGTCAGCATGCCCTTTGGTTAAACTGGCTTTCCACAAGTAAGCACACAGATGGATCCAGGACTAAAGTCTGTCCATGCAAAGAATCTTCCTCAGTTGCCAAGTGGGAACATGGGCCCAGCACTAATAGGCCTTCCTGTTTTTCAAGCAAAACAAGAAATCCTGTCTTTTTAATGTGAAATAGCTTGGTCTTTAAAAGTACATAATAATTAGTAACTATCTATTTGAAAGTGACATGAGCCAAACAAAATGCTTCCGTGGGCTGCAAGTTTGAAATCTGTAGTTAAGTGTGAGGTTGTTTCTTGTTTATAGGCTAACTTGATCTGTATAGGATCTGGTTTTGTTGTTTTGTGTTTGAGACAAGGTTTTACCCTGTACCCTGGCTGGCCTGGAACTTCCTATGTGGACCAGCTTGGCCTCAAACTCATCAAGATTTCTCTGCCTCTACCTCTCAAGTGCTGCAATTAAAGGTATGCACCACCATGCCCAGACCATATAGAAATCTTTTTGTGATAAACATTGTTATAGAATTGCCACTTGCCATCAGTTTGCTGAAAAGAGTAGATAGAGAATATGGATGGATTCATGCATGTATGCATGAGTAAGTAGCTAGATGAATGGGAGGATGGATGCACACATGTATGCATGAGTAAGTGGGTGGATGGATGGATGGATGGACACATGTGTGCATGAGTTAATGGATGGATGGGAGGATGAATAAAACATCTTTAGAGACATGTTCTGAAATATTACTAATAAAATGGTGTATGTCTAGGAGCTACTTCAGAATCATATATGGGGTCAAATGAAGATGTGGAAATCTAGATTGACCATGGGGTAATCACTGAATATGAGAGATAGTATACATTACAGTTCCTTGGATGTTTTTGACTTCTAATATGCCTGGAAGTTGACAGTACTAAGGATGCTTATTTTAATGCCCTGATCCCCTAGAGATGCTTTGGGAGGAATAAATAGGTAAAATTATATCCTACTTGGGACTTATTTTAAAACATTCAGCTAATTTTTTGTAAGTAGAGGCAAGTGTAGATAAAGCACCATTTGGCAAAAGTTTATAAGTAATACAGTTGGGCAGTGGGTGCATGGAGAATGATTCACTACTCTAAAGTGGCTGACATTTTTTTAAAAATAATTGTTTAAAACATAGGCATGAAAATGAGTGTTCCTGTTTTTTAGGCAGCATAGAGTCATCTGTCCTGAGTATTTGTATAGATTTTTCATGGGTGTGATAGCCCCGACATAGAGGGAAGTGGGGCTCTTTGGTGGGAGAGGTAATGCGCTGAGCATGGTTGCAGTAAGGGGTGGGCTCTGTTGTTAGCTACTGGTTAAGAACGGTATCTCCCAGGTAGCCCTCTACTGATTACTAAATGAAGTAAATAGTTGCCTCTTGGACTCATTATGAAGATTAAATTGGTTGTTATATGTAAAGCACTTAGCCCAGCACTTGGTCATCACTACTGTTGTTGCAATGTTGGTGGTTGTTGTTGCTGTTAAATGCCCTAAGGGCAAAAAAACCACTTTCTGAGATAGACAAAATAATTGAATGCAGAAACTAAAAGAAGTCAAATATGACTTAGTCGGTGAAACACTTGTATTCCTGATGATCCCCAGAACCCCCATAAAAATTCTGGCCATGGTAGCACATTCTTGTAATCTCATCATTGGGGAGGCAGAGATGGGAAGATCCTGGAGACTCACAGGGCAGCCAGTTTAGCCTAGTTAATAAGCTCCAGACCCATGAGAGACCCTATCTCAAAGGATGTAGATGGTGTTCATGAGGATGACACCCAAGTTTATCCGTCCTCTTGCTTCCATGCAAACTCACACACATACACATAAAGGTATTCCCCACCACCACCATGTACATGCATACATACACACCCGTGCAAAAGAAGCACAAGAAAGAGGTACCCACTGTCAACTGACCTATCCTCAGCCACTTGTTCATGAGTTTCAGGAATCAGCTTCTTGTACAGGGGACACAAAAGGAGTAAAATTAACAAAGCAACCATGGGATTTTCTTTCCTGCAGAACGAAGTGGAGCTGGGGGAGCTACTTCTGTCTCTAAACTATCTACCAAGTGCAGGGAGACTGAATGTGGACATCATTCGAGCCAAGCAGCTTCTGCAGACTGATGTGAGCCAGGGCTCAGGTACGGCACCATCCCATCATCCTCCACATCTCTAAGGGGTGCTCTGTTGTTTGAGGGATCCAGTTTGTGCAGTGTGTGTGTGTGTGTGTGTGTGTCCTGAATGCTATTGATGGTGGACACTATAAGGGTGTCCACATAAGGGTGACAACATTTAGAACTAGAATGCTAGTTCAAAAAGAAAATATAAACAATCAGCTATGTGTTAGGATGAAACAAGTCATCTTGCAAACCCTAACACACCTGTTACCAGGTATGATAACTTCTGAAATCCATCTTCTCTTTGAACTTACAAGTAACTTGCTTTTCCCATACCCTATGCCTGTAATGCATATGTCATGCTCTAGGTGGCGATAGTGACTAGGCATTCTGATAGACAAGGAAGGTGGAGCCAGCCTGGGGGAAGGGTTGCAGCTCATTTCCTGTGTATCATAATTCTTTATAAATCCCAGCTCTGAAAGAACTACTGTGTTGTCTGCTTCCTACAAAGACCAGTTCAAACACATTTAACAAAAAGCCCAGATTCCAGTCCACCTGTATGTAGCTTCTTCTACAGCTGAGCATGCCATTATAAATGAAGCATGGTTGCTGGGCTCCCTCCCTTCAGCTCAGTGGTAGAAATGCCATCTCCCCCTCACCACCATCCCTAGACCCAATAGCCAAAGGAAGTTGTTTGCAATGAGGTGACAGCTGAATCTAGGCTGTACTTTGTATTCTCAAATGCCACACTATAAAGTGGAGGCTTCGAGGAAGGAGGACTACAGTGGCTGGAGCGTTCTAACTCACCACTGTGGAGAGGCAGGATGCTGAGACAGAAGGAGGTCAAACTGCCTGCCACAAAATGTGTTTGTGGTGCTTGCAAAAGATGTGACCTTGGAGGCATTACCTAACCTCTGTATATCTCAACTTCTTCATCTCAAATATTGTAAAATGATAATATTTATCTAACTGGGCTGCTTAAATAAACATTAAATTCAATAATGTGCACAAATCCCTTTCTAAACTACAAAAAGACCAAAGCATGGCAATTCTAATTCTGCCTTCGCTCTTCCCCCATGTGTGAGCTGAGAGCCCACTGGCCTGCCAATGGCTTTCTGCTTTTGGATAGCCTTCAACTTGGTTCTGCTCCACCAGCTAGATCTTGAGCGAATCATTCCTTGTCATCTTTAAGCGTGCAATTTCCCCATTTATAAAATGAACACAATGCCTAAAATGTGGGGGGGGGGAGTTCAATAAGTGCTAGATGTGTAGAGGAAGAGGAACAGGAATCAGCAGATAAGAAGACAGCTGTGGAAACCATGGGTGGGTAACAGAACAGTTGGATACATGGGAGAATGGTTAGGTGAAAGTAGGGGTGGATTGATGTCTGGATTAGTAAATGGATGAGCGGTTAGTTGAATAAATGAATCAGTGGGTAGATTGATAGAAAACATGAAAAGAGCTCAGTAGTAGAGCCCTCACCTAGTGTGCTTGAGACCCTAGGCTCCATCCCCAGCACTGCAGACTGTATGGAGATGGGAAGGGGTTAGGTGCTTACTCTGTTACATAGATAATAACTTGGAAAGATGGATGGATAGACTGATGGACAGATGGGTGGATGGATAGAATGGTGAACGGTGAGTGTTTTGAATGACTTGATGAATAGATGGGAAAGAATAGATGAGTGATTATATTCATGGATGGATGAATTGGCTGAGAGGCAAAAATTATGGATGGATAGACGGGTGGGTGAATGGGAGAGTGGGAGAATAACAGGATGGCCGGGAAGTTGAGGAGATGAGAGATGGCTAGATTAGGTTCCCTTGCCTCCAGTATTCTACAATGTTGTATCCAATCCTTCAGACCCCTTTGTAAAAATCCAGCTGGTACATGGACTCAAGCTTGTGAAAACCAAGAAGACATCATTCTTAAGAGGAACAATTGACCCTTTTTACAATGAATCCTTCAGCTTCAAAGTTCCCCAGGAAGAACTGGAAAATGCCAGCCTAGTATTCACAGGTAAGACAGCATTCTAGACCCTGAGGAAGCCCTGGTGAGGCATGTTCAACTGCTTGCATAAAACTGAAGGCATCCAGAGAAAGTTACACCTAAGAACCTGGTGTCTGGCATTCAGCTACCTAGATTTGAACCCCTACTTCCTATCCACCAACTTGGACAACACCCATACAGCCTAAACACAATTGTTATGTCATTGTCAGGAATCTAACTCAAGCTAGATTCCTTGAAACTGCTATATAACTGAGGGCTTTGGCAAGTTATTTAACTCCCTGGGCCTCAGTTTTCTCATCTATAAAATATGGGCAATATTAGCTCTTGTGTTATAGGTTTACTGTGTTGAGTAAATGATTTATAACCTTTAAATAATATCTGATACGTATTATGCCAGCTTTAATGATGATGGTGGTGGTACTATTGTCGGGAATGGTGGTGGCGGCGATGATGATGAGGATGATGATAGTGATGGTGGTGATGCTGACTATGAAGACGATGGTTGTGGTGGAGTCAAGTTGCTGGGTTTAATATAAGTCTAGAAGGCTTGGTGGTGGTGCACACCTTTAATCCCAGCACTCTGGAAACAGAGGCAGGTGGATCTCTGACTTCGAGGCCATCCTGGTCTACAGAGTGAGTTCCAGGACAACTAGAGCTACATATATGTGTATGTATAGAAAAAAAGTGAGGTCACCTAGCTCAGGAAGGACAGTTGTAAAAGGCATGGAGAATATAATATTTAAGTACAGGTGTCATATGCCACTCTCTGGTAAAATTTAATCTACTTTACTGGGGTATAATTGTTTTAATCTTAGGAGTTATTAGTTATCTGTTACTGCATAACACATCACCCTAAAATTTAGTAGTATAAATAAATCATCAAAAATTATTTCATAGTTCCTGTCACTCAAGAGCCTGGGCATGGAGCTAGGGTTGGGGCTCATGCTAGAGTGCTTGCCTAGCATATATGTGGCTTGGGTTCAATGCCCAGCACCACACAAATCAGGTGTGGTGGTATTCACCTCTAATCCCAGCATTCCAGAGGATCAGAAGTTCAAGGTCAGCCTCAGCTACATACCAAGTTTGTGGACAGCCTAGGCTGCATGAGACATTGTCTTAAAAACAAAACAAAAACAAATACAAAATCTGCTCAGGCAGAGCTGTGATGTGCTCTGTAGTTCTAGCTTGTCTGACGCCCCTCCAGGAGTCCTGCAAGTGGGGCAAGTGGAAACTTTCTTCTTTTTAGATACAGTCTAAAATACTTGCCTCTAGGTCTTTCATGAACTCTTGCCCTGGCCAAAATCTGTTTGAGATGCTGAAGAGGTGGCTTAGTGGGTAAGAGTCTTCACTGTACTAGTATGAGGTTCAAATCCCAGCACTCATATAAAAACCAAATGGCTGCATGGACCTGTAACCTCAGTACTAGGGGCCTCCTTGACAGTGGTCATCAGATTCTCAAGGGAATGAGGAGGTAGATGACACTCATCTCCTCCTCTGGGTTTCACTACACACACACACACACACACACACACACACACACACACACACACACACCGATGAAATTTTCAAAGAGTACATTGAAAAGGACATTTTTGAAGTTGTTCATGAATTCCACAGTTATACACTAAACATGTCCCCATGCCCTGACACTGTTTTCAAGTGTTAAGGACAGAGCAGAAACCTAGTGGATTGTATCTGGGCCCTCAGGATCACTTGGGCCTCCTTATAGCCATCACTCTGCTGCTTGCTCTTCTGAAATTACCAGTGAAGGTGTCTGGTTCCTCAGGAAACAGATGAAAGTGTGGGGCAGTTTGCACTTATTTGCAGAGTGTTTCAAACCCCTTAAATCTCACATAGTTAGCCTGTAAGAAAGAGATTTCAAAATGCGAGTGTGTACATACACACAGCCCCACCTCTTAGGTGACTCTTTTCAGGTGGGGCGCATTGTCAGGACTCCATCAGAAAAGGCTCTCTCTCTCCCTCCTCCCCCCCCCCCGTGTGTGTGTGTGTGTGTGTGTGTGTGTGTGTGTGTGTGAACACTTGTAAAGAATAGCTTAATGGAGTCCATTTTCTCCTTCCACCGTGTAAGTCCTGAGGACCTAACTGAGGCACTTAACTCACCGAACTCTCTTGCCTATCCAAGACTCTTGACTCACAAAAGATGCAAGCACCAAGGCTTGTGCTCTTCACAGTCAGGGCCATGGCAGATATTCACTCTAGAGGAAGTTAGCATGGCTCCCACACCATGGTGTCGGGGCCACTCACAGCATCACCAGAGAGCTTGAGAATGTAGCCAGTGGCCATGCCTCATCCCCAGAGACTGGAGTAGAGTGCTGGGGCTGGGTCCTCACCACAATTTTGCTGCCACAGTTTCAGTCAGCCACGGTCAAATGAAGTGCAAAAACACTCAATGGAAAATCCCACAAACCATATCCACAGAACCTGGAGGGCAGTAATGACATGGAAGAGTTCTAGGTTATTATTGGTTGTTTTTAATCTCTTACCCTGCTGTGTTTATAAGTTAAACTCTATCACAGGTATGAATAGGAAATAACTTACGAAGTTGGAACTGTGAGCTGTTTGGGGTGTCCACTGGGCCTCTCTGATTGTCTTCCTACAGATAAAGGGGGTCTACTGGATATATATATGAATGATATTATAAAGTACCCCTTGATATTTCTAATGCACAGCTAAGAATGGGAGCTACAGCTGGCTGCCATTTTACCTAAAAAGCTCTGGCTGGAATAGTAGCAGAAATCTGGATGAGTGCCTTTTGATCTAGACAAAACCACAACCCCCATGCAGCTCAAAGGGTCTCTGACTTGCTTTATTGACTGAATTCCAGCCCAGCCCCATGTTTCCAAACACTTCTTAGGGAAAGTCATGTTGATCTGCAATTTAAGCATTTGCTGATACTCCTTGAGGAAACCTGTAATTATCCTGGGGGCTGGGCACTCTGAACAGTTTCATTCCCCAGGGATGGGGGTGGGGTGGGGGGGGTGCTTCTGCGATGCAGTCAGGTGATTTTTTTTTAACGGCTGAGGTTTAAAAAGAAAAGGAAAGATTGCTTTCCTCACCTCAAAACACATGGTTCAGGACCTTTCTAGAAAATCCACAAAGGTCCTGCTTGGAAGAAAATGTGCGTTGACCCTTGAAGTGATTGGGAGAGAGGAGGAAAGAGGAGGAGGAACAGTGTGAAAGAGGAGGGTATTGAGGGAAGAAGGGAGGAAGGAAAAGCTAGGAGAGGTAGAGGAGAGCAGAAGAGGAGCAGATAGAAAAGGGGAGGAAGAATGAGACAAAATTCAATGCTCAAAAATTTAGAAATAGAACTCGATTGCCATCCACCAATTCTACTTCTCTGTGTAGAAATGCGGGAGTATGGAATCTACAGGCACTGAAAGCAGAGACGCAGATGTCTGTGCTCCTATGTTCCCAGCAGCAGCACCTACAAACAGCTAGAAGGGGAACCACCCAGGTGTTATCCAGACCATGAAATGTCGTTAGGCCTAGAAAGGAAGCCCTTAGGATGCCTGCTACATGAAGTCTGAAATCATGTGCTGTAGAATCAGCCAGCCAGAAAAGGACAAGCATCATACAGAGTAGTCAAAAATCTATGAGAAGGGGGGGGGTGGTCCTCTGGGCCTGAGCCCTCTGACTTTCACACACATGGAACAATGCAGGATGTAGTCAGGAGTGATGACACATGCCTAGGATGCTGGTGCATAGGAGATGCAAATAGGAAGATTGTGGGTTCAAAACCAGCTGGAACTACATAGTCTTTAGCCTCCAGACTTGTGGGCCAAATAAATCTCTATTCTTTATAAATTTCCCAGCAAAAGAAAGCAAAGTAAAGTGTACACTTGTTTTGGGCTTGGGGTGTCCAGCCCAGGCTGGCTTCAAACTTACCACCTCCTGCCTTCCTCCACCTCTGCCTCCAGAGTGCTGTGGTTACAAGAAGATGCCACACACTGAGCCTGACAAGGATTGTTTAAAAGCCTGGTGTCCAGAGCTCAGCTCACAATTATCAAACTTACTGTGGCATCTATCTCTCAAAGCTCCAGGGTGGCTCTCTTGCACAAACCATGGCAGCTGGACTTGGCCTAGAGTCCATTCTGCTCCCTCCCACCCATCGTCTGTTTGGAAGTCTCCCAGGCCCCACTGTGAGAGCGAGTTCCAAGGCACCTGGTCTGTGTTTCATAATTGCCTGTCTTTCTGCAGCTGGAGCACAGAATTGGTTAACTGAATCTGCTGCAGTGGTGAGATGGGTGAGGAAGCAATGGGTATAGATCACAGGAAGTCTACCCTGGAAAGACCCAGGGCTTGGATGGGCACCAATGGCATGCATGAAAAGTGTTAGGTTTGAAAAGCCATGGTGGTGCATTGCTATAATCCCAGCATTGGACTGTAGAGACAGGAGGGTATTGGGGTCTCAATGACCAGCTAGTCTAGACAGTCACTGAGCTTCATGTTCAATGAAAGAAGCTGTCTCAAAAAAATAAGGTAGAAAACTAGATGGAGGATGATGGCACAGATCTTTAGTCCCAACACTGGGGAGACATAGACAGGCAAATCTATTAATTCAAGGCCAGCAAGGACTATTGAGTGAGACCCTGTCTTTAAATAAATACAATTGAAGTGATAGAAGAAAACATCTGACATTGACCTCTGGCTTCCACATACACAACTTAACATGCACACATTAACACACACACACATAAACACACACACACCTTCAAATGCATGCACACACACACTTGCACACACACACACCACACCACACCAGGTTTAGGGATCAGGCTTGTGGAAAGCTGAACATATCTATTGAAGGAGAGAGGAGGAAGCTAGTCTGAGAGGGACATAGCTGTTCTAAGATGGGGAGGTATTATAGGTTTATTCTGGGACACAAATGTCTCCCCAAAGTTTCAACATACTTCTATGCAGCTCCCACCTCTCCTCATGCAGCTGTGTTTCATGAACACAAATCCCAGCTGACTCCTAGAGAGAGGGCT